CCCCCACCGCCAGCAATTTCTCAACAAACAACCCGGAAAACAATGTACTGGGATGATTACCCAGCTTAGGTGCGGATGTAATCAGTCTTCGCCATGCACAATTTGAATGTGTGAAAAAAGAAAGAAGCATCTGTTGTTCAGTCATGCTTACCTCAAGTTCTTCCTCATCCTTCTGAAGACCGTCCGGCGCTGCGCGCAGCTGCTCGATGACATAGTCGAGGTCCAGAAGATTATATGATACGGTTGTAATTGCTTCATATCTGGAGAGTAATCGAACGAAATGTCACAAGCATTCATGGTCATGAAATATGATTCACAAAGTGTTAAAAAATGAATAATACACAAATAAACTTCAATAAAGTCATTAACAAGAATAGATGAACGGATATGGGAGGGATGGTGGTTAGGAGGAGAGGACCTTGATGGCAGACACTGGATGTTTACAAAAGCAAACCATGCCGGCAATTGAAGAAGAAGCAGAAAGGAAGGAAGTAGAGGCGCCCTGAGGAGGAGGCATGCCATGACAGGATTCGCGGATAAATGCTTGTCCTATGTAATCATCACTACAGCCGCTGCCAAGGTAGCAGCTGCAGCACTACGAGGAAGAGAAGAGCTGATTAAGTCCTTGACGCTGTTTGCTGTATGTGATCGAAGTAAATGGGAATATGAATCAAGCCAGCCCTTACATTGACAAGAATTACTGCTAGTCTGCAGCCATTTCAAGCTTATATCACTCCTTTTCACCTTCCAGTCTTCCAGCAACTGGTAGGTGTCAGACTATACATCATGTAACAACTCAGCAGAGTTCTGTCCAACAAAAAAAAATAAGCGGTCGCTAGGAAAGTCATAGTGCGTATGCCCTATCTCTTGCAGGTCCAATTTCAATCAATTTCGTCAGTAACTGGTCAAAGCAAATGAGAGAGTGGAGACTAGATGCTAAGAACATTCTCACGCTAGGGTTTTCTAGGCTGCATCTAGCCGGATTTGCGGTCTGCCATGATCCTGTCCAATCCATGCAGCAAGACTCAAATTGGACACAATGCCATACATCACAACTCTAGCACAATTGCATTCAGTGCAAGTACGCCCGAACTCGTGGAGGTCAAATCAATTTCGGCAACAAATGAGAGTGTAACGATCGCATGCTAAGGACACCCACACGAGGACTTTCTTGATTAAATGTAGTTGGATTTGTTGCCTGCTATGATACTGTCCAATTCATGAAGCAAGAATCAACTTGGAGGAAATGCCGTACATCGCAACTCAACAAGAAGTTGATTTGAGAAGACAAATGAACGAAGAAAGAAGACAAACATGATCAACCCAATGTCATCTCCCTCCTCTTGCCAGCCATCATCATCTCCCTCATGTAGTCGCTGCCTCCTCACATTACCAATCAAATACAACAATAAATGAATGATACGAAAAAGAATTGATGTTGGAAGGATCTCCCCTAGTTCCAGTGAAGAAAGAGCTCTCCTTTATCCTCCTCCTCTCACTCTCCTCTCCACGTATGCATGCGTGTGGCTATCTGAGTCCAACTCTTTGTCCCCATGCCCAACTGCGTTACGGCCTGGATGTTGTGTGTCTTGGACGGATGTAGGCCAGCAGATAGGGACAGAACCTGAATTTGGCCAGGGAACTTCCCAGAGTTCTAGGACCCATAGGGATTTTCCAGCAACTCGGACCAGGATGGTTGCAAGTAGGTAACGATGACCAGGACTGCATCGGTTCATGTTCAGGTTCAGATATAGAATCTGTAGGTAGCAGTACAGTCTGATGTTCTCCTCAAAATACGAGTGAACCACTAACCAAAAAAACAACAAAAAGAACGCACCGGTGACCCACCCTGCATTGGAAATGCAGTGCCACAGCAGATGATTTAACAGCTGCTAGCGAAACTACAAGTGGGCCCCTATATGAACTGCATAGTGTCCTAGAAGAATACTCTGACTGTCAGAGGCAAGGGAAGCAGTGACAACGACCAGAGACAAGGGAGAGTTAGGAATTCTCGACCTGTGACAACAGAACCTCTCACTATTACCGTCTTCACCCAAATAGAACACCCGGTCATTATCGCTGCATCTGGACCGAAAGTCGTGCCAAATACAGCTATAATCACCCAGTGTTCTATTCGGGTGAAGACGGTAGCTAAGTGGCCAGTGAAAGGTATGACAAAGAGAGAAGGGAAAACAATTCAAAACATGGTTGAAGTTAGCTGAATACTTACTTGGCTCAGACTGGAATTTCTCAGACTTCGCTGACGTTAGCAGGTGCTTGGACCTACCTTCATTCACACAGAGAAGACCAAAGTCCAGGCTTTGGAGGAGCTTCCTCTATGCCTGGAACAAACTTAGGCCTACAGACCACAGACCGCCGGTTGCCAAGGCATAGATTCTGCTATAGCCGATGTTTGATAACAAGTTTATCCTCCAAGACGACCAAGTCCCATTCTCGGCAGTGGAAGGATCAAGGAACTTTGGTAAGAGTTGCACATCCAAAGGAATTATAAAAATCAGAGATATCTGGGACTGAAGAGAAGGACTGGTTGTCGGAACAGGATCTTTATCAAAAGCTTATAAAAATCAGGGACATCTGGGACTGAAGAGCAGGACTGGCTGTGGGAACAGGATCTTTGTCGAAAGCTACCCAGGTTACACTCTATAAACACCAACTTCCGCAGGCTGAAGCGATCTCTAAATCATGGCTTGAGAGAGAGAGAGAGAGAGAGAGAGAGAGAGAGAGAGAGAGAGAGAGAGAGAGAGAGAGAGAGAGAGAGAGAGAGAG